TTGTGTTTCATACTAGAGGAATTTCGTTGCCCTTTTTAAATTATGTTCTCCTCGTCTTCCTCTAGATATTTCCTTTCCTCATTGAGCCAGACGCGCAGATATTTCTACTTTCCTACATAGTATATACAATGACTTGTACCTTCAGGGGTTTTCTCTTTTCGTCATTAAACACCATTGCTCCAGACTTGTCACTACTAAAACTCATGCCCGAAGTGTCCCTTCCTCTCCAAAGATTCCAGCTAGTTCCTGTAATGTGCCCTGATTATCTGCCATAAGTACTATGTCCTCCGCATACATCAGTCCTGGTATTACCTTTATTACATTTCTCCCTCCTTCGATATTTATTTATTTAAGTACCCTCAAGGCCCTGGGGCATTACAGAGGGGAGTGGTACAAGACAAATTTGGAACACAAAACAATATACAAACACTAAAATCCAAGCACGAAAAATGTCAAAAAAGTGTGTAAACAAATTAAGAAATGCATAGAACAAGGCAAACAAACAAAGAAAAATATTAGCATAGGTAAGTAGTCAACGCACTTTTATACAAATCAAAGGACGGTATGTTTACTAATTGCGCGGGAAGGCGATTCCACTCTGAAGATGTCCTTGGAATAAAAGAGTTATAATAGGCTGAGGTAATGCAATGAGGAATTCCGACTTTAAATTGATGATCTACGCGCGGCGGGATGAAAACAGGATTTAACATTAGTTTGTTTTTTTAGCGAAGTATTGGAATGATAAATTTTATAAAAAAGACACAAACGAGATATTTTTCGGCGTAATGAAAGAGCAGGAAGTGATAAATTAGTTTTCATAGTTGAGACACTAGATGTGCGATGATAGTAAATATAAAACGGCCACCGCGATAACTCACATCAAAACCTAAGTTGCTCTGCTCTCATCCCTTTTCCATTTCACTAAGATATATCATAAAGAGAAGAGGTGACAGTGGACAGCCCTGCCTGAGCCATCTTTTTGTTGGTGCGGGTTGTCTGGTTTCTGGTTCCCACGTTATAACTACCTTATTGTCTGTGTACGGCTGCTGAAGAAACCTCACCAAATGTGCATCTAAATTGTACTCCTTCAGCTGACCCCATAGTTTTTCCTGCCTCACATTATCGTACGCTACCTTAATGTCCAAATAACCTAACCCTAAAGGAGTGTGGTTCTTCACTGCTATTTCTATACATTATCTGGAGACGAATACGTTATCTTCCAGTCTTGTATCTCTTTAGAATCTATTTGGAGCTCATCCAGGGCTTGCATATCTCCTGCCCGTACCTCCATTCTCCGCTTTGCTATCTGCATAGAACTGAAGTTACCATTATTGGCAATTTGACTCAATTTTGTTTTTATTTCCTCTGCATTTATATATTAGTCTCATTTTATTTAGGTTCCAATCAAAGGGTACCCGTCCTCCCAAAATTATTCGATTGATCACATGCCGTAACTTCGATTTGCTTGTTTCTCCTAGTGTATTTATGAGTTCCGCGGGTATGTCGCCTGGGCCTCTCGCTGTATCTGCTGGAATTTTAATTACTGCCTTATCCAATTGTCTTGTGGTCGTCTCCATTCTTAAACAATTATGCTCCTCCTTTACACTGCTACTGTCAATGCTAACTTCTGCTCAAGCTGGGAGAAAGCCTCTTCGATTTTCTGCCTAATATATTCCACTGCCTTTTCCCCTCCGCTCTTCTTTCCTCCGGTGTCTCCAGTAAGTGTCGGGTATCTTCCGTATTTCTCCCCTGCGCTTTAATGTGCTTTCAAAACCTTTTCGCCGCATTCCTATCTTTTTTCTTATCTATTTCTATCACCACTGCATTTCTGCACTCCAATTTTTGGATCGTATTAAAGCTGATGCCTCCCCTTTGAGCCTCTTGCAAGTTCTCCCATTTTGATGCTACCTCAGCTGGCACGGCTTCCCTTTTCTTTGCCCATCTATGCTCCCTAGATGCCTCTTGGCGCCGCAATATGGTTGCTTTGATCTCCCTATCCCACCAAATATTTGGTTTGTTTCTTGATTTTAGCTTTCCTCTTAGTTTAATTCGATGCACCTCTGATTCACTTTTAAGGATTCCTATTAGATCATTTCCATTCACTTTCTTGTAGTTTCAATACTATGTTCTCAATATTTTTAGATACTTTTTTTAGATTTAAGTTTCATTTAGTTTCGGTTGACCAGCTCGTTCCTGAGCTTCTTGCTCTGGTTCAGATGCCCCAAATTTACTCTTCCTTCTTTTGTAGTCACTCCTTAAGCGCTTTGTATGTTCCTCATCTATTTCCATACTTCCTAGCCTGTCATACAGTTTATGAGACATTACGCAGTAGTCTATATTTGAGTATGAGTTGTTTCGTTCCCACGTCATTTTTCCGTCGCATTTTACTTGTGCATCAACGAACACTAGGTCCATGGCATCACATAAATCTAACAACGTTCCGGTTGTATTTGTGAACCCGTCAAACTCTTCTAAATGGGCGTCCATGTCCTTTAAGATAATTATTTCCTGATTAAGGCCAATTTCTATGATGTCCCTCGTTACACATGTAAAGTGTACTCTATTTTCCTTGCTTAAGTAATTTTCTCTTTTCAGGTAAGCAAACCCCGGAAAAGTGTTCAGACCTCTTATCCTACCTTTCAACCATAAGTGTTCTTCGCAGCTTTTCCTTTTCTCTTTCCCCGTATTTTCCTTTAACTAACATGCCCAGACCTACGCCTTTGCGTTCCCTTTCGCTCCGGTTGCATCCCATCCAGGAGTAGCCTGGTATGTACGTTGGTTCCTCCTCATATGTGAGGTCCGTTTCTGCTACCCCATGCACTGTGAAAGTTTCAGCATCTAATTGTTCACCAGCCTCCTCCAATTTTATTCTGTTCTTACCTCATTGCATGTTTATGAACCCTATATTAAGCCGATTCTTTTTCTTATTTATTCAGTGCTTCCTTCTGCTCTCCGCGCCGCTCTTCCGGTACTCACACCCAGGAGCATACCCCAACTCTGGCACTGGTGCATATGGTACTGGTACATCTACACCAGTGCCCTCCGGGCTCCGTGGGTCCCCGAAAAAGCTGCAACATGTCGACCCAGCATCTCTCCCACTCTCCTACCTGCATCTGGACCGTAGTGGATTCTACCCCATGTAAAAGGGCAGGAGCCAGCCGCTTAGAGCTCCCAGTTTATCTCCTTTACGCCGTACACATGTTGTCGGCTAATTCCCTTGACCACTTGGCTAGCCTCAATGACCCACCTCTCGATGTCAAGAGACTGTCCCTGGACAGGTGGGATAGTGCATGCATATTTGCACATGAACCCTCTCACTGTCCACTCTTAGTTTACCCATTCCTGCCTCTATCTGCGTTCCCAGATTCTGGTTCCTCCCGTTCATTACGTCGTTGGGCACTGCGTGGATCAACAATAGGTTTTCCCCCTCCATGTTGTCCCACAATACCTTCTGCCAGGCACGTAGCCAGGATTTTGTTTCGGGGGAGGGGGGGGGGCGCCCATGACAAAATGCTATATGAGGGGGAGGGAAGAGGAAGCCCCAGCAAAATGGAAAATTTCAGGGGGGGGGGGGAAGGCCCGGGTCCCATGGGTCCCCCTACCCCCCGGCCCTCCCCTTAGCAAAAAGAGACCGTCCTTCAAACGAATTTGAAATATATTGAATACGAATATTCATTTTGTATTTATTCTGTATTATTTTGGCCGCATTCAAAATACGCGCGTAAGGTATTCAAAATACATTATAAAAATGAACCAAAAAATATTTTAGATACACCAAAAATATTATCCCTTCACACATCAAGATGCCATTTGTGCATTAAAAACCGGTTACACAATTTTTTTTTTATTTTCGATTTCGTCAGCAAATGTCGTCCCTGTCGTATTTGAAGGCACTACTAAATACATCTCACAAAGCTACATTACAAACGAACACAAACACACACACCATGACGCATCAAACAGCTCATTCACAGTCTCGTTGACTGCTCTAGAGCCTTATATAGCCTACATATTGAAGGTAATCATTTTTTCGGTGACCACCTCTGTGCTTATTAAGGTTCCAAGTATTCGATCTTCTCCTCGGGAGTCGGTCAAAAGGGAAACAGTGTTTTGAAGTTCGTGGACGATATCTCTTACTAAAAAGCATTGGTACAACTAATAACAATGCGGCGCAGTCCCTAAAACAATATCCACACAAACGGATCATAAAATACATGTTATTGCTTCTCTGCGTAGCACCACTCAGGACGAAGAAAATCAAGGTAGTTTCTTCACTTTAAGATACTGTAAACGACTTTATTTTCGTGAGGACCTAATTTTCGCAAAGTTCGCGAATCTCCTACAATTCCGAAAAATAGGTCCCGTGAACAATTCCGGCAAAATGTAAAAAACATGAAAATCTATATTGCGATCCCAGCGCGTCGCGAAAATTAGAATTTGCGAATTATTCCAAAACTCCAACTTTGACCTAAATCGCGAAATATTGAGCCCGCGAAAAATAAATATTTTACAGTAGTTATTTTGCCTTTCCTTTTTAGTAGTTGACTATTAATTATGGTAGTTAATGTCACTATATTAAAGTCACTACTCACATCACGTACTATGGTGAGTATATACGTTCGGTGAACTAACATTGTGTTAACAAAACCACGCCATACGTATCTGTTCACAGCACCTGCTGAAGCTTTCCAGCATCTGCAAATGTTGTGGTTGTAGTTCCCGAACCCTGTTTGTGATTGGTGTGCAAGGAACTGATCAGGTGTGTTCTTTATAGAAAAAAGGAAACAGTAACATAAACTGGGCTGATTTATCAGTGCGATGCTGCGCAATTTAATACAAACTAATCAAATGTTGTATTTAGGCGCTTCAGTGTACTCCACATCTGCTTGAAGTGAACTTCTAGAAGGGGAGCTTTTCAATATTTTGGTGGTTTAAGTCAAACTACCAAAGTATTGCAGTCAAGAGGTACTTACCGCCGTATTCATAAACATTCCCCTACTCGACTCCAAACTCGACTCGACTTGAGTGGAGTACGGACGCGCGACTCCACTCGAAGTGCCATTCGTATTCACAGACGCGAATCGGCACTCACTCGAACTCGAGATTCCGTTCTCCACTCCAACAAGCTTGAGGACGTCTGGGAGCGAGATTATAGCCAAAGGTTTTATTTAAAACACCATTTTTACGTGAAAAGTAAATATATTCGTTCGTGTTATCTAAAAACGTGTACCATACAAACATCGAATTAGTGAACTACGAAGTTTTATTAAGGCAGCGTAAAGTTTAGACGTGTTTGAGCGGCAAAACGGACAAAGTCGTTACCTTGTCTGGCAACAAGCGCATTCGCTAGCTGCGTGTGTCGTTCTCTCGTCGACAGTCGTCTATCTCACGGTTTGTCGATTTCGTCTCGTTTTTTCTTGCTTTCGCCGCCCTTTGTCTACCGTGCAGCCCTGCTTCGTCGCCTCGCCGCCTCGCCGCCTCGCACGACAAATCATGGAGGACCCCAACGGCAACGACTCAGAAATGGCCGATACCGAAGAGCGGGCAGGGGCTCGTTTTATTTATACTGCGGAGGAGAAGGCGCTCCTCCAAGCGCTCGTAACGAAACATGCGCGAGTTCTTGAAAACAAGAAGACAAATAACTACTCGAAGGAGGCTAAACTTAAAGCTTGGGAGAAACTCAGCACCGAGTATAACAGCCAGCCAAACGTCCGCCCACGAAGCGCTAAGCAACTCAAGAAGCGTTGGGAGAACGAAAAATCCAGATACAAAAAAACCAAGTCCGACGAGACGAGAGACATCCACGCCGCGGGTAAGTCGACAATTTGCATATTTGGTAAACCGTTCCCGATGTGTAAAAAGTAAACATCGGAGAGAAGTCCTTTCGACCAGAACAATGCTATGTGCACGACGTCGTGCTCCTTTCCGGGTCTCGTATAAAACGAATTTTCAAAACGAGTTGTTCAAAGCTGTAGCGTAGCAAAGTTCGCTTCATACGCATGCAGCCGATCCAGGTTCGATCCAAAGTGGGCCTACTTCTTTGCTTTTTTCTTGACATATTTTTTTGTAGAACATTTGGCGTTATTGACATTTTTTTTTAACAATCGTCACTGAAAACAAATGAGGTCCCCGCATCTTGCCGGAAGCCTATTCTAACAAAGTGCCCAGCATTCAATTGCCCATAAGAAGGTTCCAGGTGGGCCTCCACTGGGTTGTGCTAGATTTTCTCTTCGTTAGGTTCGCTTTAGTCCCCTTAACAATTGTTTTTATCTCGCACGGAGGCGTTTCGAAAATTCAGTGTGCCCTTTGAATTGTTCGTCCCATACATTGTTCACTCTCTCCAATCTGAGCTTCAAATTCTTTGGTTTCTGTCACAGGAGGTGGGCCACGAACAAGCCGGCCGATGAGCCCCTCACTCATTCTTGTGGGAGCGGCGGCAGACCACATGGAGACAGTGGTGACAAATCTCTGCGACAGCGACAGGGCAAGAGACCGGCCAGTGCTGTCGCTGCCTCCGGCTGCAATGTTTGAAGCAATGGTGCGAGGCACTGAAGGCAATGACAATCACGCCTGCTGGAACGACGTGCCAGGTAACTGGGGGCTTTTGGATTGGGACAAATTTGCACCAACATGTCGGGGATGGGTACCGTGAGCCGTAACATGTCTACTTGTATTTGCGACTTGTATCATTTTAACAGCAAATCTGGAACAGAAAAAAAGGCACCGAAGCCTTTTTCTTTTATTGCTCGGCAACGTCTACACTATTGTACATATCTTCGAAGTTCCAAAATTGAAAATGCGAGCAGTGGGTCGTGACATAGTACTGATAGTACTGTGAATTGAAACCAAAACTAGTGGTTAATAGACCTGTTGCAAAGCGTACAGCGCCACGACGGCACAGAATTTTGGGAAGACTCGGTACAGATCACAAGCCTTCTCGTTGCGCTTCCGCGACAGCGAGTGAGTCGTGGCAGCTGCCGCCAGCAGCAGTCGCAGCCATCCGCCATCCCGCCAAACCGTCGTTGGCGGCGTACCGTATCTGTGGCAGTGGGCGCGTTAAGTCGGCGCTCTTTTACTCCTCCTACTCCGAGTGCGGCAACTGAACGGCGCATAGCGTACAGGAGCGCGACACACCGAGGCTGCGTTCCAAACCTACTCGAATGGATACGAGTTACCCTGGCGGATTATGTCACGCGACATCAAAAATAGAGAAACGCTGGACGCGGGTAGGTTTTCGACAACCACCTTTACCCTAGAGTTAGATCGAGTAAGTTTTGGAACACGGGCTTTCCCGCAACACATCGTAGGATAGCGGTGGCGCAGCAGGCGTTTGCGACTTTTATTCAAGCGCATGCCCGCATAAAGCTTTATGCCTGTGGTGCCGGGAACGCCATCCAGATTCGGCGACATTCGGGCATGTGCAGTTTCGTGGCTCCGGGTTCGTTCCTCCGACGTTGCGTCAACCGCATGTGGCGATGGCAACAATCGTAAAGAAACGTACGTCGCTGACGTTCGCGACAAAGCTTGAAATCATCCGCCGCGTTGAAAAAGGAGAAAAGAAGTCCAGCATTGCCGAAGCGTACAACATACTGCGAAGCACTTTGAGCACGCTGCTGAAGACGAAAAGTGACATCAAACCGAAGGCTGAACAAAGCAAGCACTCCAGCACACGCCGTGTTCGGACACTGGCCTTCGAAAAGGTGGAAAGATCACTTCACAAGTGGTTTATGGACGCAAGGGCTCGGAACATTCCGGCGTCAGGCCGATGCTTCAACAGAAAGCAAAGGACTTCGCATTCATCCACCAAGCACAAAACGTCGCCGCAAGTAGCGGGTGGCTGCAACGCTTCAAAGCCTGTTACAACATTGTCGGGAAGACGGTCTCACTTTTACGCTGCTACTGCAGTGCAATCGACGGTAGTGATCTGGCGCTGGTGGACTGCTTGGAGACAGTGGAGCCGGCCGTAATAAGGCATGCAGTCAGCTCCATGCAGCAATCTACGCTGCGGCAGTTTTTTTCGTCGGAATAAATAGTTCACCTTAACGCTTCACGTGAATACTATACTACGTTTCAACTTCCGTCCGAACGCAGCCAAAGCTACGTGTGGCCGGAGCCAATCACACGCCGGCAATTGGTCACGCGATCTCGCCTGCACTTGGTATCGCTCCGCTGCGCCGCTGGCCGTCCGCGCCGCCCGCGCTCGCCGAGTATTTTGTCTGCTACGGGTGTATCAACGAAATCGTCTGCTACAGGTTTAAAAAGTGACCTTTCACGTTCTGAAATTTAGTCGCAGGGGATGTCAGTACGTATGCTGGCCGCTGGCGTCTGTGTCCGAGCTTTCCACCTGTTCGGCATTTCGGCATAGTTTCGAGATGTAAGTAGACATTGCAAGATGCCCGACGACCCGGCCATTGATGTTTCCTTGTATTGTCTGGATATACCAGGGCTCGAGCCACAGTCCTTTCTACCAGCTTCTTGGCGTACAATGTGATCGGCAGGTAAAGGGGTGCCCTGATTTCGCTGTGTATCAGGGAATTGTAGTGGCCTGGACGCTTTTCTAGTTTACAAAGCATTTGCGGTACGACGTGCGGTACGACGCGGCCGGAGTCTCCTGCAGAATTGAAAAGTAGACATTCATTACGACCTCTCGCGCCTGACGCCCAGACATGCCTTTGCGAAAGGACATTTTGAAGAGACTCGGTGAGGAAAGCAACAAACAAGCAGCGAAGCACATGATTCGGTAATTACAGGAACAAAATCAAAACTGAGCGCTGCAGCCGTGTTGCCAGCGGGACGTACGTTTTTTCATCAAACCACATGTATCTACATATATTAATAAGAACTTAAACTTCAGATATTTAATTCCTTTAGTTGCAAATCATTCTCAGCAGTACACATCTGGAATATTGTGCAGCGTTTACGCACAAAGCAATTGTTTAAAAGGAATTACTTTTGCGGACTACTTTGCGATGCGTAAAAATGCTCTTCTCGAAGTTGCGAAGCGTCCGTCAGCCTTTGGCTGCGCTCGAACGGAAGCTGAAACGAAGTATAGTCATTTTTCGCCGTTAGCCTTTCACTGATTAAATCGCGCTGTACTTTGACGCTCTTTTTGTGTGTGACTTTGTATATCGAATTTTGATTATATCGAACTATTTCACGGTCCTTGCACTGTTCGATATAACGAGGTTTGACTAATTTGCCAACGCCTAGCTTTGAACATTTCTACGAAAGGCCCATGTGGCTGTTGGGCCTCTTCCCCTGTGTGCTTGCTCTTCCCCTAGCACTCACAGTGCCAATGTGCTTTGCACGCCCAGATGCTCCTGATCCGTCCGCCTCACCTCTCCAAGACAGCAGCGTTGGAGCTGCTTGTGTGACTCCGCCGGCAAGGAGCATTACCTGCCCCCGTGCTGAGCTGCCAAGCGGGGCATCCAGAAGAACTGGAAACCGCATCGCAGCACTGGAGCGGATCATGGCTCCCGAAAAAGAGGCCCGTGTAGACATCCTCGAGAGGGAAGATCGGCGGAAGGAGGCGCAACATTTAATGCAAATGCGCATACTCCGCAACAAGCTTTTTGAGCAGCGACGACGCGGACGGGCAGAGTTCCAGCTGCTCCAGCTGGAGAGAGAGATAAAGGTGGAGCAGCTGGCAGCCCTGCGCTGCAAGCTACAAGGGTGTGGAAATCACAATTAAATTTGGGTTCTTTCAGTTTAAAAGCATTCCGAGGATTTACTTATTTATTTTATGTGCGCTACATTGTAGTGAAACGATAGAACCTAATGTGTTTTGCATATTCGGAAGTTGAATGAAACAGCACACTACAATTGAAGGGAAGGGTAGGTCTTTCGTTAGCTCTGTGCTGGCCACAAGTCTTTCCCAGAATATGTTAGATTGACCAAATACGCGGAATTGGATTTGAAAATCAATTTATTCGAGCGCTTACTACTGAATTCGTGTCCAAGTATTTGCACGAGTCAGTGACGGGTCAAGAACAGAGTACAAGCTGGAGATGAGAAGTAGGATGGAAGCTTTAAGTGGAGAGGAGGTTTCTCCTCTCCACCTCAAGCTTCTGTCTGCTTCCTCCTCTCCAGCTTGTACACTATCCTTGACCTGTCATTGACTATAAACGTGTGCTACTGGTTGAATATCCCTATTGGAAACACAGTGCGATGATCTGTGTGCGTTTCAGCGAGCCGTTGATTGTGTCGACAGGGTCTGGAGGTGATGGCAGTACATGAGGACGCAGCCGCCTCCGGCGTCGGGGTACTGGTGGAGAGGGTAGAGCAGGTGGGCATGGCTCTTTTCGCAGCAGGGCCAGGTTGTGCAGTGCAGCACAGGCGGTGATGATGAGGGCTGACCGTTCCGCCTTGTACTGTAGCCGCATGTCCAGGCATGGGAAGCGTCGCTTGAACACTCCAAATGCCCGTTCGACCGAGTTCCTTGTTTTTAGGTGAGCTGCTTGGTACCTATATGGTGCAGCATTGGTAATGGAAGCAACGTTGCAAGATAACGGTCTTCAGGTGTAAAAATCGCCATTGCTGCAACCATCAGTATGGTTCAGTAACCTGTACAGTGCGGCCCATCCATGCTAGCTGCATTTTCGGCATTTTCTATTGCTTACCAGAGGCTACTGTTCTGCATACAGTGGTTTTGGCTGGTGTTTTCTACATTACCGTCTTAATTCAAGTTCTTGGCCCTAGTCCAATTCTAGTGACAAAAAGCAACAATTGACACCGACTAACTGTGACGAGGAAGAACAACAAATGTTCTCGAGGAAAATAAAAATAGAACTAAAATGTTGTATGCTACATACTTTTGAAACAAAAATTTGTCCACAGGAAGTGAATAATGCCAGCTTTTTTTGCCATACAAAGGCTTAAAGGTCATGAATCTAGCTGTGACAAAGATTTGCAGAACTAATAGTAACCAATAGGAACACTGTGGCTACAGCATCACTTCTTGTTAGCTGTTCTGAATTTCATGCCATTATTTCTTCCAACAAATTAGTACATACCTGCCCTTTGGGCTGTTGGCTACACCTGGGCTGGTCAGGGGCGTCAGAAGAAATGACATGCAGGCATAGCCTGCATCTCCGAGCAGCAGGTTAGGGATGCGCCGATTCTCGTACAGGACCCTTGCACGACTGTTATCGAATATCCTGCTGTCATGCACGGAGCCTGGCCATCTAGCAACAAGGTAAAAAAACTGCAGCTGGGGTCCTGTGATGGCCTGTGGATAGGAAGGAGCAGTACAGGGATGAGCAGGTTGCCATGATATGAACACAAGTGCTCAAGCTGATATTTCTACAATGATTAGTATATTTTTGACAAAGTGCATCTGCAAGCTTTGGAAATTAACTAGCATTTGAGTTCTCGCAGTTTTATGTGACGTAAGCTTCAATGTGGCTTAATTCCTAGGTTTTTCACGCAGTATAATAGAAGAGAATTTGAGCACGGGACAAAGTCTCCCTAATATTTTGTTCGAAAAGTATAATTCAAGGGGAAAATATCCCAGGTGAAAATCAGTCCACTTCCAGCTGGATTATGGAACTGGAAATGAGGCAGTCCACCTAGATTCCAGCTGGGTCCAGTTGGATTCCAGCTGGAATACAGCTGGACTGCCTCATTTCCAATTCCATAATCCAGCTGGAAGTGGACTGATTTTCACCTGACCGTTTGCTATAAAATAACAAAAGCCACCTCGGCACCCAATTAGATGTATGTTTCCAAACACAATACATAATTCTTGGTTTTGAACCCTCTCTAGCTGGCCCACCACCACTCTGCACTGTCGCAGAGTGCAGATCTCTCTACAAGTTCTAGTCTATATCAGTCACAATATCGCCGAGCTTTCACGTGCCGCACCGGGTCTTGGCGTGCCGTTGTTTTCAACTTACTTCGCTGCCGCTAACAGCACAGACAGAAGTGAACTTACCTGCACGTTGAGGGAGAAGAACCCCTTCCTGTTCCTGAAGACTTCCCCATTGGGACCGCCAGGTCCCTTTATTTTGACGTGGGTGCAGTCGATGCACCCAGTCACACTGGGGAACTTCCCGATGTTGTAGAAATCCCGCATGACCTCGTCGCAGTCGCCCTCCGGGAAATCCACGAGGCGGGGGAAGAGAGTCTCGGCGAGGACCCGGGAGACACGCTCGATTACGCGGCACACCGTCGGCTGCGACACGTTCACGAGGTCGCCCGTGACTACTTGAAAAGTCCCGGCGCCATAAAATCTCAGCGCTACGAGGAGCTGGAGCATCGGGGACAGTGGCAGGCCGCGACTGCTCTCGTTTGCTTCCAGCGGCAGGCACTGCAGGAGGCTTACGACTGTCGATTTTGTAAAACGATAGCGCACCAGGAACTCCCAATCGTTGAAATGCTCCAGCGGATTGAGCCGGTCCCGGCAACGTCGTCTCGGCACATCGACGTCCTGGTCGGGGTCTCGGTCGTCATGAAGAACTTCGTCCGTTTTCAACACGAAGTCGACGAAGTCGGCGAACGATGCGTCGGCCGCCATGACACTGAACGCACTCGAGTGACTCGAGTGGCCGTTCAAGGTAGCTCCGGCGCAGACTCGAGATCTCGAGTAAATTTTGGAGTTTCGAGTGGAGATTTTGGAGTCGAGTGGAGTTTCGAGTGGAGATTTGTTTATGAATCGCAAAACCACCCTCAAGTCGAGTTTCGAGTCGAGTTTCGAGTCGAGTAGCGTTTAAGAATACGGCGGTTAGAGTATAACACAACAGTATTTACGATTTTCAGGTATTTTAAGAGTATTCTGCACATATTTTTGATTGCTCCATTTTTTTTAGGGTTGGAGTATATTTTGCATGAATTAAATAAATATTTCAAGAAATATATGTGAAAGATATTTTGTGCATATTAATTTAGTATTTACATATTTCAAAACGCATGAAGGGAACTTCAAATGTAGGTTAAGTAAAGGTATTTTAAAATGATTTTTAGAAGTATATTTTAGTACTAAGTAAAAAAAAAAGAAGTTTATATTTTCGGTCTAGTTTTCGTGTACTTACAATTATGAACTGTATTTCAAATACACTCAAATTAGAATGTGGGATATTTCGAACGTATTAGTTTTTGCTAAGGGTCTGGCTACGTGCCTGCCTTCTCCGCTTTGGCAATAGCATCTACCATGTACCTTAGTGGTTGGGCCTCTACTCACACTTCTGTCTTCTTTCACCATGCCTAGTACTCCCTTTACGATCCTTGCTACGTTGGATTATCCCACTACTAGGACTTCTAACTGCCGACGGCTACCCTCCCTCCCCTGGCACTATGCTGCTACCCCTCCATTTACCACCGATACCAGGTGAGTCCATTTGTTTCCTTTCCTTTTGCGCTGCTTCACTATAGGTACTAGGAACCTCCTTCGTGTAAGCACTGATCCCTGGTCTCTAGCCCTTTGTACCTTTCGCACAACCCTCGCTGTCGACTCTCTGTTCATCTCTTCCCACTGTGCTTCTAGGTCGTCCCTCTTCTCGACTTCTACTCTGAGAATACTCTGCAATTCTACCATCTTTGTTTTTCCTTCTTAACCCTTCCCCTTCTCTTCCTTAACTACACCGATGGAACGCTCCACTCTATCCTCGCACTTCATTTTTCTCTCTTCTACCCCCCCCCCTTTCCACGCTTCCCCCTGTCTTAGTTCCTCCACCCGCTTTTCAAGTTCGACCCGCTTCTCATGTTCTTCTTGAGCTCAGCTTCCATGCGCTCTAGCTTGCCTTCACAGTCCTTAGTAAGCTTCTGCCACCTCACTTCTGGCGTGTCGAGCAGGACCCGCTTCTGGAGCTTTTCCTTAAGAGCCCCCCATATCTCTTCAAATCCAGCCTTCCACTCTCTTTCTAGCCTTCTAAGGGCTGCCTTGATCTTCTCAAAGAGTTCGCAAGGGAAGCTACTTTTCTCTGCGTCTATCGCGCGCTTGAAGCCGGTTTGTATTAAATAGCACCACTGCTGGCACTCTCCGCTTTCTATCATGGTCAAGTCCCCCTTGGCCTTCCCTCCAATTCGACTCATCGCCTAGCTACTTAAAAACCTCCGGTATCCCATGGCGGGCGAACACAGACTTTAGGTCCGCCACAATCGCTTCCGATGTTGTTTGCTTCAGCAGACACACTTCTATAAATCTGGAGTAGTAATCTACAACTACAAGGTAGTGCTTGCCGTTCAATTCAAAGAGGTCAGCTGCAACACGTTGCCATGGATAGTCGGGGAGCTCCGATGCTATCATAGGTTCCACTTTTGGGATGCGCTCTTGGATGCAGCTTGTGCAGTTGGTAACCACCTCTTGCAACTGAGTGCTGAGTCCTGGCCACCACACTGACATTCTTGCTCGTTCTCTGCACTTGGACACTCCTTGGTGCCCTCCATGTAATTGGCACAGCACTTTAACCTCAATAACTTCGGGATTACTAGCCGATTGTCTTTCACAAGGAGATCGCTTTGTACAGTGAGGCTGTCTTTATTCCTGAAGTCCCCGCAGGGGGCACCTGTGAAAGCAGGTGTTTGGAGAGTGGCGTCTCCACGGACCCCGAGCCATGCGGGTTCGCCCGCCCACGTATGGCTGTGCGTGGCTTTCCCGTGTCTGGGGAAAAGGGCATCCTGGTGGTTGAGCCGAGCCCAGGGTAGGTTTGGACCCTTCGGGGCCCCCCGGGCGAGGCAATACACCACTTCGGCCCCCGCTTCTCATAGACGGGAGTCCTGGTAAGGCCCGGCCAGGATGATTCAGTCTAGTCGCCACTCCTTCTACTATCCCCTCCTTTCTTTCACCTTTGTCTTCTCCTTCTTTTCACTCTTCTCATTTCTCTTCTTTCCTTTTCAACTTCTTTGGCGGCAAGGGCTAACCTTGGGTGGTGACAGATACTCTCGTCCAGATCCACACTTGGTTATAGTTTCTGGGTAGCGCTAATAGAGTTGCTTCCAGCAAAGCCATATTTGTTATGGGGTGTTACCTATTCCCTCGT